CTGAGAATTCTTTCCGCCTGGTTCTATTTACTTTAAACTTTATTTATACAGAAATTTTGATTATCTCAATAGAATAAATTATAGTAAATATTATAGGTTATTATTTGCCGTCATCTTTCCTATGTCATCAGCTTGCATCTCGCTGGCCGAATTCCTTCTTAATGTTCGTAACTGAACAAATATGCTGCCAGGATTGCAACGCCTCTTATGTTGGACAAACTAAAAGAAAAGCTAAAACAAGAATCAAAGCACACAAATCCAATATAAAAAGATCCAATAATGCACTCACAGTATTATCTCAACATCAAATTGATAAAAATCATAAAATAAATTGGGAGAAGATTAAAATACTGAATATAGAACCGTATTTCCAAAAAAAGGATGACGTCGGAAATGATTCATATTAAAAAACAAATAAATGGTATGAATAAACAAAGCGACACCGAAAAATTACCAGAAATTTATTTTCCTTTACTGAACATAACTTCCCCCCCTTAACATCAACTTTACCCTCTCCCTTACAAAATAGTTAATTTAAGGCAGTATATCATGATGAGAAGCGGTAATACACAAAGAAATTCTACGATAACATGTCATCCACTGCTGCTAATAAACATTCACAAATCTACAAGAACACAGGTATTATATTGATAGAGAAGATAATTTAAAATAATTGAATCTAACTAGTACGAATTATAGAATCTGGAAATTTTGTGGAGTATATCATTGTGGAACATGAAAATTATATGGAAAAAAACACAACGGAATGGTGTAAAATTGAAATTTTGACGCACACGGACACGATAGAGGATGAAACTTAATTTTTAAATTTATGTTAATCTGCGCTAGCTATATACTGATGATGACCCAATTAGTAGGTCGAAACATTTATATTAATTTATTCAATTTTTATTAAACAAATACGATTAATTGAATGTGATTATACAGACTTCGAAAGAACTCTCGCTGACGACATCGAGCGCTCGTGGTATATGCCTTTTGACTTTATTATTATTTTTAAATTTTAACCACGTATCGACATTTAATGTTTTAATTATTTATAATTACGAAAATATGCAAATTAAATGTGGTGTAATTTTTAAAGCCATTTTCTTAAGAGGTTCATTTCTGTTATTAAGTTATTTATTATAACTAACACAACCTAAAATTGGCTGCTGCATCTAATTATAACACCCTAATAAAGTGGAAAAGAGATTCAGAAAGTTTCGTAAAACAAAATTACATAATAATACAGAACGAAATACATCATTAATTTAATAATAATACACGGAAAATACGGCTACGGTTGACACGACAAAAAGTCGCCCATCAATACTGTTGATAAGAGAACTGTGTCCCTTTTGTGTTAAGTAAAACGCTATTTTTTCGTTGACTGAGATCTGTGCCTCCTGCCTTGTGGCTATTTCATTGCTAGCTGAAATCTGTGTTTCTTGCCCTGTGGCTACGCCCGTTTGGGATACGGCAGCGATAAACAAAATGCAGAATATGTAGAAATACATTTAATGTCTCTTACAAAATACTTTACAACGACTTGCTCGTAACAAAACTCGCTGGTTAATACACGCAAACAAAAAGAAAAAATGGTTCCGCCAAGCACGGAGGTTGGCAAAGGACTACTACTAAAATGGCCATGCGGCAGCGCACACATAGGCTCACAACGCCACGGACGCGCCATGGAAGCGCCAAGGCAGAGTCGGCAAGCCGAGGCGCGCGATATCGG